CACAAAGTTATGCTTGAAATTCAATTTTCTTTTCGAATCAGAACTAAACCGTTTAGTTCCAAGTCCTAGTCGCAAGACCCTGGATTTTAGTCCTATTTGGTCCGCATCCTAGTTGAGCTTCCAGTCTTAGATGCGCTGGAGAGGCAACAAAAAGGTAAGCCGGGGGGGAGCACACACACATAGATTTTGTATATATTTATATATACTTACACATACGGTACGACACCCAGTACAATATTCTGCGGAGTTGTTTCTTCCCTAGAAGTGCGTTTGATCACACTTTAGGTGGTCAAAAAAGCCGGGTAAAAACGCAAACCCAAAGACCCTATTCAGTCAACCGCGGGCCAAAGTAACAAGCGTAATCCGTGTGGCAGGCGTGGGACAGGCAAGTGTCGCGCCCTTCTGAACTTATGATAGTAAACGGCTTCCCGGCGTCCAAAGTTGATCACGCGAACGGGAAGGGCGGTAGGTGGACAACTTTGGTGAACGCGGGTTCCCGGAAACATCTGGGGCCTCAAGCTGGCCCATAGCTGGGAGGCTTCGGCTTGGTGCTGCCGGGCTTCGACCGGCTGCCGCGCTGGTGGCCGGCCTTTGGGTGGCGGACAGGACCGGCCGCGCGACAAAAAAACTATGGTAGCCCCTTTTCGTGTTGCGGCTGCTGGAGAATGACTGTGCGCCCACTAAAGAGTATATCGAGATCTGCTGCAGATGGTTCCCAGCGTTGATCTCTATTCCGACGGCCAAGAGCTAGGGGGGCATGTAGTTTGGGGTGCTGGTAGAGGTGCTGTTTGCGAGTGTGATGGCAATTTGGGGCGCTTGTGGAGGTGCTTTTTGCGATCTTGACGGCCGAGTGCTAGGCATGCAGTTTGGGGTGCTGGTGGATGTTGTAGCAGCTGTCACCATTGGGAACTGCACTGTTGTCCAGCACTGTTTCCAGTAGAACGCGCCCACTACACTCACTGTCTACCTCCTGCCCTGCAGGCATCCGCGCGGCGCAAGCCGACATGCCAGCACTAATTAAACCATCATAGGAAGCAGGGCTGCAGCAAACCAACTGCCTGAAAAGGGAACTTAAGCTTTGTTGTACCTTCGTGGGGCAACATGAGCGGTTCCCGCGGCATCATGATGAAGTTGACAGCACCATGGTGTTGACAGCATCATGATGATATTACAACCGCTCAGCATGGTGCGCCAAATAGACGCGCAGACAACGTCCTATGAGCTCAGCAGCATAATGATGATGTTGACAGCGACATGCTGACACACCAGCCACGAGCGATTCCGCGCTACATATCTGGCAGAGACAAAAAGAGAAGCCGACGCCCGGACCAGTTCGACAGCATCATGATGATGCGGACAGCATCATGACAATGCGAACATCATCATGGTGAAGCATCATGATGATACCACAGCCACGAATCATCTTGCGACGGCGTATTGAATTTGAGCATCATCCTGATGTTGACAGCATCATGGCGCCATCACACCCACGAACCACAACGCAGCATCGCAGTGATTTCAGCAGCGTCGCGACATGGTTGACACATCATGACGATACACCAGCCACGCACGACTACGCGCGACAGTTAGAGCAGCAACATCGCCCGAATCGTTTCAACAACATCATGATGCTGCGGACAGCGCCATGATGATGCCACAACCGCGACACCCCAAACAGCGCCCACACCTCCCCGACAGCGCCCCAACGCAGCGCCTGCGTGAGCGCTGAACATGTCCCGACCTTGCTGTCACGTACTGTCACCAGCACCTCAACCGAGCAGCGCCCCAAAACCTCCCCTGCGCCAGTACGCCATCGATCTTGCAAAACACCTCCCCTTTGTCATTAGAAGTGAGAACCCTTCTGGTTTTCAGCTCTCTGGGAAAAAGCGCCCGCACAGTCAGCAGCACCTCAAACAGCAACCCAAAACAGCACCTCCACCATCACCCCGAACTACATGCCCCCTACAATCTTGCAAAACAGCACCTCCACCAACCCTCCAACTGCATGCCCCCTAGCGCCCGGCCGTCAAGCTTGCAAAAGAGCACCTCTACCAGCAACCCAAGCTACATGGAGCACAGGTCATAACGCGCCGTGGCACGAACCCGAGTCCTCAGAAATGCTGTGTTTTACCATCCGCAGCATTGTTTTCCCCGACGCCGCTCAGCTTGTCAAGAAGGCCGCAGGCTTCAAGCCTCCTGCCTGCAGAACATGCTGTCTCCACATCCACATGTAAGCGTATGAAGGTTATTTGGGCAGATTCTTTCACACAAAATCAGGGCCAAGAAGTTTCGCAGCGTGCTGCTGCGCGTGACGTGCTCCCCAACGCAGCCTCCTCATGCTTCCCAGTCCCAGGTCTGCAAAAGTGACGTAGCTTGTGCTGACGCAGCAGTCTGTAGAACGTTGCCTTCTCAGCTCGATGGCGCGATGGCGCTGAAGGCATGAGCGTCCTCCAACAATCTTGTGTCTGCGAGGCTCGCCCCGAAGACTCTGCCATCACCGGAGTACGCGTGGCCGACAAGAGACACTGACAGATGCAGCCAAAGCAAGTGATGGTCAGGGCAGAGCAAGTGCTGCCGCAGCACGAAATGCCAGCAATGGCCCGCAGGCGCTCAAGTCAATGAAGTTGGAAATCTGTAAAGAAAAAGGGCCCGGCGTCTGAGCGCAAGTATCCAGCAGAGAATCTAAGTATGGAAGCCAAACCAAGAAAAACGCGCTGAACATCAGATGTTCACCTCAGGCTCCCGAATCTCCAGCCAAACAAAGTAGAAGAATCAAAGCTTGAGACCCCCTAGCCCAAATTACATGCCCTCTAGCACTCGCTGTCAAGCTCGACCTCAGCAGGCCCCTGGCCATGAAGCTCAAAGCTTGAACGGGGTACTCAAATGAGATGACATCCCCGTGAATATCCCCAAATCATGTCTATGGTTTCTTGCGCAGGTGCAGAAGTGACATATGGAGAACGGGGTTGGCTGAACCCATGTTTTGCCTGGGGTTGGATTCGCGCTGCTTTCCGATGACGTGCCTCCGAGCCATCCTGGTGCTGAGGCGCTGGGGATTGCGTAGTAGTCGTGAGGTCTAAATTGAGTTGCGTGCCGCCAGGAAGGTTTCCTTGCAGTGAGACTCCCTTTTCACCGTCCAGTAGTGAAGGCAATGACAGGGAATTCGCCAAAATCCAATGTCGATTGGGGCCACGAATGCAGACCGCAGTGCAGTTGAAGGATCAGGACCCTGCGCCAGGACACCGCGATTTGTGCACGGTTTAGGTTTTGTTTTGTTTTGCCGAACACCCCCGCCAAAAACCCCAAAGCCCGCTGCCTACCGCCTTCACTTTCCTCTCCTTCATCTCCTTGAGCATAAGAAAGCCCAGCGCATTGCGCCGGGCGCACCCAGCTCACACTGCGTAGCGAGACGGTGCTGCGTAACTGCCCGCAAGTCTCATGCCATATGGTTCCGGCACTGGACGTGGATGAGCAAAATCCCACCAGTTGGTAGGTGTTTTCAATATTCATAGGCTACGTTGACCAACTTGCGTATAGCAATTTCCGCGAACGTGTTTTGCGACCTCACCTATGATCAAGTGTTTTGTCTCAGGCGTCCTGTGCTTCCGGTTGGCAAAAAATGTGACATGTGAAGTGCGTCGCCCGAAAACGCAAAGCGCAAGGATGGGCTACGCCCCCGTAAGACAGGGGCGCCGTGTTCGAACTAGGGCCCCCTGTGCTGTGCGGGCACACGCGCCAGTTACTCTGCTTCAACTCCTCCATTCAGCAGTGACCTTTTGACCTCTGGGAATGCACCGGTTCACAGAACCTCTGGTTTGCCGTTTGACCGATTGACCGGAAAGATTCAAACAGGGCCTGAGTTTCTGTTGCCCAAAGGTCGACACGCAACCCCTCCCTGTGTGCTCTTCCAGCGACCAGGCCTTGACTTTTCACTGGCGGCAAGAAGCTGCGCGGTGAAAATTGTGCGCGTTTGGCAGCGCAACAGCAGTCCTTAGCTGGCTGCAACTGACTCCAATGCCTGGAGGCATCTAGACGTTTCAGCCAGTGCTAACATAGTGCTGGTTGCAATGCCCAAACATCCGGACAAGATTCCACAACCATTCCAAAACTGTAGCCGAAAGAGAGATATAACAAGTTTAACATGGAGAGACCTGTTTTTGCCCGAGCATTCTATGACATGGTTTCTGATGCTTGTGTCCACTTTCCGCCCAGCCAAAACAAGCAAAATACCAACCTAGAGCAATGTTGAAAGTGTGTCCGGGTTGTTTCGGGGGGTCCCGGGAACAGTTCTGTAGCTGACTGAATTTGTTAAACTGATTGTTTTGTGGTGGAGATGAAGGTCGAGCAATATGCGAAGACCCCGCGAAAGCGCAATCCTGAGTGGAGGAAGCAGGCATCCCGCGTAAGCGCAACCCTGAGTGCGAGCGACCAGCGTTTGCATCATGATTTGGAAACATGATGCCCAAGTGCGAGCCTAAGCGCGACCCTAAGCTCTGATTGGTGACCCTTTTGGGAAGCTTTGCAATCATGCCATGGCGGAGTTGTGTACGTGCCTACTTGCGGGCGGCTTGCCTTCTTGGAATCACTCCGATTTTTTACGTGTTCGCGTACAAGTCACACAGCAGATCCAGCCAACAAAGCAATTCTGATGCGTAAGGACAGCAAAAGCTTGCCTCGCTTGCTGACTGCCGCGTCAGCACGCGTAGTTGCAAGCTCGCGCGCCAGCAAGATTGTACGACGTAGAGATTCGTGGCGTGCTTCAGAGCAGCTAGCTCAGCTGAACGTAAAACAAGCTGCCTATATATTGATGAAAGTATTTGTTGGTCGATGTCTTTTTCCCGTGAAATATGCCTGACCTCCCAGACAGGCGGCGCGCTTAGTTTATGTATGTGATGAACATATGGGTCAAACACTGGCTCCCCCCAGGTCGGGTTGGGCACCATTCGGCACCATGTTCAAGCAAGCAGCCCTTGGTCGTTGAAAACTTGAAACAAGAGGAGCGTATTTCAACAATAGAGGCTTACAGCTCAAACTACAATGGAAGGTAGCATTTGGTTCTTGCATATCTTGCCAGGTGGCATTTGCAATGGAGAAGGGCGGAGTTTTGGACATGCCACTGGCGTCGCCGCCGATGTGTTGCATTGGGGCCCGCTCTCCGCTCTGCCGCGGAGTTGCCCAGAACCCTAAGAAGCCCTCAGAAGTCGTGGCTTAGCTTTCTTTCCTCGAGTAGGGCCAAGCAAATCGGGTCCACAGGTTTCAGGGCGTTTCGAGCAAGGTCCACAAAAAGCACTTACCCCGTGCTTGGAAATTTGCTCCGGGGACCTCGGCTCCTTAATGTAGTCACATGATCTAGGCGTTCGCAACAGAATTTGACACCTCCTTGTTCTTGTCATCTGAACATCAAGCTGGCGCTTGGATCGTTGTTGGGGGGCTTGGTGGCCAATTGCGGTTGTTAACTTATCCAGCTTCGCGCATTAGATGGTCAGAAGCCACTTCAACCTGGTGCGTGCCAGCGGTCGTGTTTTGCAAACACTTTGATTGAAATCTGGGGTTCTTTGTTTGTGTGCGTGACGGGCAAAAGATGGCTTTGCCACGAACATCGGTGAGCGCACGGCTTGCTAAATTGAGCTCAACAAGCGCAAACGCGTTGCCAAGATTGCAGGAAGCCACGGAACCCTAAGAGCTTTCCCGAAATTTGGCGTGTGCCGTAACCTCCTTGAACAAGCCCTGAAGTTTGATGGGTGACGGCGACTCTTGTTTTAGTTTCGCAGTTGGTCAGGCATGTGCTCTATCTAGGCAAGTGTTTTGTTGTCAGCGCTCCCCGGCGCGCCATCCTCAACATATGATTTTTTCAGTGAAAGCACCTTTCTGGTAAAGTTGGTTTCGAGGTTGGAAAAGCAACGCCTGCAATTCACGAGGTTGCGCTCAGCCTCAACGCCAGGGCATGAACTCAATCACCGTGGGCCTTGGCTGGGGTGTGGACGAAGGTGAGGTTGACCTCGACGTATCTGCCGCCGTGGCCCCAGTGACTTTTCAGCTACGGAGCTCTTGAATTGGTCAGCTGACCACGCGACCAGTGCGTCCTGAAATATTTGTGCAAGAGACCTCACCAGGTGTGCGGCCTGAACCATAATGAAGTTTCCACGCCCGGAAAGAAACAAACTATTTTCCAGATCTGGCACCCCGACAAAAAAGGGCGCAGGTGACCGTAAGTCACGTTTGGCCTGTGGGAGGCACAACATTTTCCAGACCTGCCGTGACTGGAGAATTTCTATCTTTCCGCGGGGCGGCAAAACCTGCAGTGGGCTGCTTCCGTTTTCGCACGAATACTAAATTAAGCAGCTACAGTATTAAATCTAGTACCGGCAAGACATTTAGTACTGGCAATACTAGATTTCGTACTGGCAACACTAGATTCAGTAATACTAAATTTAGTACTGGCAATATTAAATTCAGCACTGGCAATACTAAATTTAGTTCGGGGACACACAATGAAGTACTAGCAATATGTGATGTTGTACTGGCAATCTTAAATTTAGTACTGGGGACACACAAGTATGTACTAGCAATATCTTGTTTCTACTGGCAATCAGCAATCGAGTGCTGGCAAGCGCACAAGTCGATTATCCGGGCCATTTGCCGTAGCAAAAGTTTCTATTCTTCCACAAAGCATGAAAAAGACAGGGCTTCCACAAAAATAGAAACTGCGGGACCCAGACATCTGCGGAGGGGTGATTGTGGATTCGCAGAACAGCGCCTCCCCCTTTCTGGATGCCCAAAATCAGTGTAAAGTGCAGTTTTAATAGAGGAATTGAAACATTTTCAATTCCCCTATCACAAATTATGTACTGGCAAAGCTCACTTTAGTCCTCGCATTATTCAACTTAGAATAGGTACTGCAATATAAGATGTGTTACAGACAGGCAAATAATATGAGTTTTCTTGGCCGTGAGCCTTAGCAAAAGTTTCTATCTTTCCGCACGGCCTGAAAAACACTGGGATTGCACGAAGATAGGAACTTTTGACCGGGCGGGGCCGCCAAAACCTGCAGAGGGCTGATTCCGTTTTTGCACGAATACTAAATTAAGTAGCGACAATGCTAAATTTAGTACTGGCAATACTACATTTAGTATTGTCAATACTAGATTTAGTATTGGCAACATCAAATTCAATACTGGCAGTAGTAAATTGTTTACTGGCAATTTTAAATTTAGTACTGATAATACTAGAATCAGTACTGGCAAAGCTAAATTTAGCACCGGCAGCCGGCAATACTTCGGAGGACTCGCTTTCCAGACCGCGCAAAGTTTGTAACTTTGCGCTGGCATGCGTATGGCCAGGTTTGCACAAAGATAAACTTTTTGAAGAGCTTCCTTAGCTTCCTGAGCAACACGCATGCCAGCGCAAAGATAGAACCTTTGAAGTTGCACGCGGTCTGGAAAGCGAGTCCTCCGAAGTATTGCCGGTCGCCGGTGCTAAATTTAGCATTGCCAGTACTAAATTTGACGTTTCCAGTACTAAATCTAGTATTGCCAGTACTTTTTGTTGCATTGCCAGTACTAATTTAGAGTTGTTTTTGTTTTGTATTGCAGGTACTGAGTTTAGTATTGCCAGTACTAATTTTAATGTCGCCAGTGCTAAACTTAGTGTTGCCATTTCTTAACTCAATATCGCAACTTAATTTAGTATTGAGATACTAAATGTAGTATTGCCATTACTTAAATCAGTATCGCCACTTAATTTAGAATTGCCAGTACTAAATTTAAGTATTGCCAGTACTGAATTTAGTTTTGCAAGCACTAAATTTAGCATGGCCAGTATTTGTGCGAAAACGGAATCAACCCTCTGCAGGTTTTGGCGGCCCCGCGGATAGAACCTCTCTGGTTGCGGAAGGTCTGGGATATTTTGGTCCGGCACGTCACGTTCTGCTTTTTGGAGGCACACAATTTGTCAGACCTTCCGCGGCCGGAGAGTTTCTATATCTCCGCGGGACATGACATTTCTGCAGAGGGTTGGTTCTGGATGCTCCGCAGAAAGATAAAAGCTTTCTTTGGCATCCCAAGGGATCACTTTTTCCCGCTTGGAGGCTCGCAATACTAAAGTAGTCTACGAGGGGTCGTTTCCACAAATTGTTCTACCTTATCGTGGGATCACCTTTCCGAAATAGTTTGCCAGACGTTCGAGCTTTTCTATCTTTCCGAGGGTGGTTATATGTTCACAAAGCTGGATGACGTCTTCCAGTCAAACATGGACCTGGTTGGACTGCCAAAAACGCGAATGTCGTTGCTGCGAATTGTTGATGGTTTTCCGCGCCTGTTGAAACTGGTGGCAGCCTGTGGGGTTACTTGTGGCACTTGCCCCTGTTTTGTCGAGGAATGGGCTGTCCTTCAGGAATTGGCAAGCGGTTGGCTTCTTTTGAAAGGACTGCAGCGGTGATCTCTTTGGAACAAGTCAATCCGAGAACTGCGTTGACGTAGAGAGCGATGCCTCCAATTGTTTGTTTGCATATGCGCTGCTTCCGCCCCAACGGCAGTCGACCTTTGGAAAGGACAGATGTGCAGGCGCGTCTAATTCACCCATGTCCATATGCCCAGGTTTGGGAGATAAATCAGATTGTCCAGATTCCATGCCCGCTGCTTCTGGAAGACATACTCATGTGGCGAAACTAGGAGCTCCTTGTAAAAGCGTCCCCGCTTCAGTGTTCCGATTTGTTTGGCCAGCAGCCATCCTGCTGTTGTTTGGTCCAATGGGGGTTGTGGATTTGCAGCACAATTGGCTTTGTTTGGGCGCCTCTGCCATCTCGCTGCCTTCACAAATACTGTTGAACAGACTGTTCTTTAAATGATTTTTCTGCTGGCGAGTTGCTGTTCATACCACATTTTGTCCCCGTGATAGTATACTGTTAACCAGGGAGCCTGGAAACCCGACGCCGGGCCAATTACAGCCGCGTCTCAATGGGAGCAGTTGAAACCTTACCTATGATGAGGGTTCCCTTTTTAGACTAAGCAACTTTACTTGTTTTTGTTTAATATTGAAACAGCTTACCCAATCAGCTCCAGGCCGCATCTCAGCTCAGGTGCTGCTAGATCAACGAGGCAGTGTGTTGGAGGTGCCACCACTCAGTTCTGGGACCTTTTGAGGCATGTTTTATAAGGCTTGCTAAGTACGGAGTCCTGAAGTGTACTTTGTGGCTTATTGCATTTCAGGGACCAGAAGCTCTAGAGTGAGCTAGGAAATTGTTCATTGGGGTCACAAGTTTCGATAGAGTTGGGAAGGCCGACTTGAACCAAACACAAGGAGCGATGGCAAAACAAACGGCATCCTTTCCCAAAACAAGACCCCTTTTCTTTGGGTGTGTTTTTGCGATTTAGGTTGGTATCTAGAGCACATGTTGTCGGATCCTTGAAATGCTGCTGGTAACATGGGAACAGGGCCAGCACTTGTCGTGACTTTGAATACCTTTTGCGGAACGCTATACTTGTGGCTGCAAGTCTTCATCAAGTAAGTGTTTTACTTTCAGGGAGACGGGTGCCCCTGATCGACGTCTCCAGCTGTGAGCCCGGGCGTTCTTCCAAGGGAGCTTCACAATAATCTAAAGGTGGAATTGGGCAACCTTCCATTTGGAGCAGGTTGAAGTTGAACGCTTACACCTGTTGTTCTGCACCCTCCGTTTTCGCAAGGTGCAACCGTGGCAATGCGAACACCTTTGTTGGGATTGCTTGAACTTAACGAGAAGCCAAAGAGAAGGTCCATTCAACCACCCCTTGGACCTCGACAGGTTTTGCGAAATTGTCCGTCAACCCAATCATGATGCGGGGCGCTCAACCATCCTTTGCGTCTTCTGGGTATCTGGGTCTTACATCTTGACCCTGTGGATTCCTGGCTTTGACCTTTGTGGTCAGGCTGCCAAACGGCACTTAGATGTGCATTGTTGCGAATATCTTAAAAGAACGACTGCAGTCTGAGGCGTGATGCTCAGTACGCTGCATTTGGGTGTGCATTGCTTGACGGTGCCTTATTTGAGCGTTTTAGGCAGGGAAACCTCCACCAGTTGTGCGGCCCCCTGGTTCAACGCACGGGGCCGCGCAGCTTGCGGTTTGCCTTAGACCTTTGAAACGAGGGGGTCGCACCACTTGTGGTTCGCCTTAAGTTTTGAGATGACTCTAAATGGCTTGATTTTGCGAGCTGTCGAGTCTATCACGAGTTCCTTGGTGGCAACTCACATGAGAAGCCCACACATCTTAGAACGCGAAATGGGATCTTTCAGGTTGTCCTGCCGTGTTTACAAGGAATCTCACCTGCTCAACTCCCTTGTCTGATATTTGAAAAAGGGGCCCCAAGGCGCGACCTTCAGTGGGGTTGCTGCCTCGTTTTACCGCAGTGAGTTCGCTATGGATTGATGGGCAGAAAGTGGGGCTTGCGACAAGAAACCCCGTAGTTCCAAGAGCATTCAGTTTCTCATGGGCCGTAACACTTACAGCCTTTGCAACTGACGCCTGCAGGATCTTGCTGAGTTGACGTTGTGCACATATGCCTTGTGCCTAAAAGGTGCGCTTGCGAGCTTGCCTTTAATTGAAAGAACAGGTCGGGGTCGTCTGTCAAAACATTCGACTTCTTCGCGCCGATGAAGTCCGGAGCTCAAAGCTGACTCGAGGCCGTTTTCTTTGGGCACCTGGAATCCGCTGAGCACGGCATTGTTCACAGCGGCGACAATCTGACAGGCGCGAGAAACCGCAACCGCAAGAAACCACAGACGCTGATTGCACTTTTGCCATTCTGTTGCGTCACCCTCGTGTGATTTTGAGAGCAGCGCTCAGGGAATAGATACTTGTGGTACCATGATAAGCGCACTTGAATCTGCCAGCCCAGCCCCTTCGCTGCCGCCCATCGGTACGCAGTTGCATTCTGCGGCTTGCTCTTGGTTTGCTTGTTTTACCTTTTTGCTATCGTGCGCACTAGCGACCCCACCGAATTTGCACATATCAGTGGTGTCCGCTGTGGACGGGGGGGAATGTTCACGTTTTCCAGCCCAGTGCAAAAGGGGACGAGGGGGTTGGGGGGGGGTTAGATGGGGGTTTGCGTGAGGGTTTGACAATTTTTGCGAATGCAGTTTTCCAAGCTAGTGCGTGTGGAGAAATTTGCACAAGCTCGCAGGCGCTCAGTGTTTTGATCAGTTGTGGCGCCAATTGAAATGGTACATGCCCAAAAGCCTGAGTTCCAAAGACCCCAGCAGTCGCAGAACTAACGAACGACTGCAGGAGTATGTTTGGAGTTTTGACTTCCGCTTTAACCACTGTAAGTGCGTGCTGAAAGCCTTGGGAAAGAAAGACTGTGCGAGAAGTGTGCTTGAAACTGGTGCAGCTTGCTTTCGCGCTGGGCCCTGCCTTCGTTTTCCTTCAAGTTCCAGCGGGCGTTCAACGCAAAATATTGAAACCCTGTGAAATACGGGACCATCACGATCGCGATTTGCAGCCTCACAAGCGACTGTTGGCCCAATTCCCCACGCTGGCCACACAGGCGAAAGTTGGAGTCACAGGTTGCGGTTGCGTTTCGCCGAGGGTCGTTAACGCGGACGGTACCTTGTTTTACCTGCCAGGGGTATGGTTGCAGACACAGGACCTTAGTGTTCAATGGCTATCAGTACCTGAGCGACAGGTTAAGTGTCAGGTTCTGTGACATGTTTGTGCTTGGCAGGCTTGGGTGACATGCTCGCGTTTGATCAGGGAGGGCTCTTGACCAAATGGACACACCAGACGGGTTGTTGGCTCAAGTGCCACAATTGCTACACCTTTTCTTTCGGCTTTAGGGTTCCAGCGAGGCATGGCCCAGCTTTTCAGAACTGAGGCCACGGCGTATATGTGCGATGTCGCCGTCCACAGAGCAGTTGATGCGCTGGACCAGGCTAGCTTCTCGGATTTTAGGATATTCGGGTTTCGGGCGGAGGGGGTTCGGTTGTTCAAGCTGTCTCTGGTTAGTTCTGGATTTGACCGTGAAGTGCTCCGCAAGGAGACGTTTGAGCATCCTTGTTGTTGACCAGGTTCTTCACCTGGGGATCACGCACTTGGAGGATTTAGAAAAGCAAGCCGATGATTGGTGGCTCACTTGGGCGCACGAGTTGGAAAAGTTTCAAGGCTTCCCCCGGAAACATGTCGTGTTGCCAGGGAGTGTTCCCTCATGTGTCAGGCGACTTCTAACCGGAAGAGAACCTGCGCGTTGACTTGCCCAAAAAAAGAGGTTTTTTTTTAGGGAGAGTCATTGCCAGCCAGCCGCCTCTTCCCCCTGCAGCCTGTGGTAGGGCAGTCATCAAGGCGGCAAGGAGGCTGCGGGGAAAGGCGCCGCAGGCGGTGGCTGGGAAGCCCGTCAAGTTACGCAGCGCGAGCAACTGCGTAAGTGTTTGTCACATGACGCGCAGAGCGCATCCATGCCATGTGAAGAGGACGAATGGAGCGGGTGTGCGTGTCTAGATCCTCACATGACTTGACATGAGCGGAATGCCAGGCTTTGTCGGATGCGGTTGTACCAGAGGCTCACGTTATTTCAGCGGCCTTGGTTGCAGTGCTACTTGCCTTTGTGGATGGGTCAGCAGGGATTCCGCTCTGGCGGTTAAAGGCGCATCGTTTTTGTTTTGTCTGGCAACCCAAGTCGAGCGAGACAAGCGCAGTGTTGGCGGAGCTGGTGGCGCACGACAATTCCGCGTGCTGCCACCAGTTCATGATCCCATTAGAGCGACAGAGATCCCACTGAAGCCATGTGCTCTTCCTTTCATAACGCGCCCGGAGCTACCGTGTACCTCCTCGTGGCCGATTTGCTGTGGCTTGCTCGACGCTTTGGACCAGCGGGTGATCTCCGCCAAGTCGTGTCAAAGGCACTGCCGCTTACTCCGCGCACCCTATATATAGTGCTGACCGCTGATCGCAACCATTTGGCAGGCCTACGAGCTGCCGTGACCCTCCCGCACTTCGAAGTTGTGTGACGCAGCCCCCTTTTAGCTCCTGCCGGAAATGGAGGAATTCGGCAAGCTTGAGTATTCGCGAGATGCACTTCCAATCCTTCCAGCCTGAGCACGTGGTCGGTCGTTTGGCCCTCGTTGGTTTGTTCAGTCTGATCGCCTGGCCACAGATAGAAAATACTAGGCGTTGGCAGTCACCTGCAAGCTGCACTTGCAAGGTTTGCCGCCAGTCAACTGAGCTGCCCAGCAGTCAATGATGTCCACCATGCCACTTGCCGTCTTCTTGACCAGCAGCCAGGCGCGTTTGTTCATGCGCCCTACGCGACTTCACAAAATCCGCGACACCCCACATGAACCGTACCAGGCAGATGCAATGGGCAACGCAAGCCCCAAGTGAATGCTTCCTATTGAAACCAGACAAACTATCCAGTTCTGTTAAATTTCGGTACTCAGACATTGCTTTTCGGGCCGAAGAAGGGATACATTGCTTGAGCACACGAACTATTCGTACAAATTGGCCAGGAAGCCCCTGAACAAAAGCCTTCGCGCAAGCCTGACTATATGCATGCCAGCACAAGTCGGGAAACTTTTTCAAGAGCTTCCTACACAATTGGTCATACTGTTTGCAAGACAGGGCAAACCAAAGATACGGAAGCCCCCCAGAGGTTTTTATCTTTGCGCAATCCCTGGCAATGCGCGTGCCAGCGCAAAGATGTTTTCTTTTGGCCCTTTTGCAGCAATTGAAACGCCAATCCAAATCCTGCCTGGCCACACACACAGTGGCATGCCTGCGCAGAAAATTCCTATCTTTGCGAGGGGTTGCTGTTGCGGGGGTTAACGCGAAGATAGTTTGTAAAGAGCTTTCCTGGACTTGGTATTGGCATTACTAAATTTAATGTTCAAAGTGTGAAAAAAGCGAAACACAAGGTAACCCAATTCTGTTCAGTTTCTGCACGCAGAAAGCACACCATGCTCACTTTTTTGGGCCGGAGAAGAGCAGAGTACATTCAAGAGCAAACCATGAAACCAATCAAGAAGCTCCACAAAATGTCTCTATCTTTGCGCAAGCCCTGGCAATATGCGTGCCAGCACAAAGATACACTTTATGGGCGCATCCATGTGGGCCTTGTGCAGCATTTCAACCACCAAACGTTTTGCCTCTCGCCACACACAGTGGCATGCCTGCGCAGAAGGTTTCCATCTTTGCGAGGGCCTGCGCAAAGATAGAAACTTTGTAATGAGCTTTCCTAAGCAATTTGTCATACTTGCCGTATTAGATTTAGTATTGGCAATACTAAACCTAATGCTGGCAGTACGAAAGTTGGTATGCGGAGGACTTGCGTTGTAGACCGCGTGCACCTTCAATGTTAGCAGTTCTAGGGAAGCAACAAAAAGGTTCTATCTTTGTTCAAAGCGGAAAGATAGACACTTTTGCTAAGGCTCATGGCCCGGAAAAGTCATATCATTTGTTTGCCAGTAGTACATTGCGTAGCGCCAGTACTAAATTTATGTTGCCAGTACGAAGTTGGATACTGCTAGCGAATATTGCCATGAATTCAATGTTACCAGTACTCAACTTGGTGTTGCCTGTATTGAACCTAGCGCTGCCAGTAGTAAATGTAGTATTGCCAGTGAGTAATTTAATATTGCTGCACTACATGTAGTACTGCCAGTACGTAATTGAATATTGCTAGTATTGCCGCTATTTAATTTACAATTGCTACTACGTAACTTTCTGTTTCCAACACTAAACTTAGTGTTGTTGTCAGTTCTACATGTAGTATTGCCCACTACTTAATTTGGTCTTGCCGCTACTTAGTTTAGTATTGCCTACTTAACTCAGTAGTTGTGCCTCCGGTCGCGGAAGGCCTCCGAACAGCAAAGCGTGACTTACGGGCCCAGCATTTTCCGGACCCTCTGCAACCAGAAACATGTCGCGCCTGTTTTTTTCGAGGTGCCAGATCTAGAAAAGAGTTTCTTTCTTGCCGAGGACGTTATAGTGCGTCTTAACACGAGTTGCGAGCGGATGAACGCATGATTGAACGCCGCTCAGGCCGAACTGGTCCCCGCATGTGTGCGCTGGCACGATCGAAATTCGGCTCGGCTGTGTTGATTGCCAAAATCACACGCGTGCATCGTCTGGTGGTAGTGTGAGTGGCATATTGGTTCCTGATGTGCGCACGGCGCAAAGACACCTCGATTGTTTACAGCAATTCCAAAAATGTGGTTCCACCGCACATTCTTCGGATTTTGCCGAAATAGCTCGATGTGAGTTCCTGGTGTCTTTTTAAGCTTTTGAACTGGTGGATCATGGATGGCTAATGGGTGAACTTGCCTTGTGAATGGAAGGCCTTGGGCCATCGCGACAAGACTGCTGCTGGTGATTGGGTGCATCGGCCTGCTTGTCGGTGAATGGCCTAGCATGTCCTCAAAGAGGCACACCTCGTTGACGAGCGGCCTCAACTTGAGGTGTCACGAGGTTGTCCTGGCAGAGCTGACGCGGGTCTACCTGTGCCATTCTTCTTCTGCTTTAGAAAGTGCCTGCGTTGCCTTCAAGTGGTTGGTGCTCATGTGTCACTGCACTTGTGAAGGTCTTGTACTTCCTGAAGATTGGCTTCAGGCTTGTCGACTTGAGGCGTTCAGGATCCTTCAATCCAGACGCTCAGATATGAACATCGCCCCATGTCATTGACCAGCTGAGAAGAGCTCCTGCGCGCAGTCTGAACACCAGATCCCGGATGTTTGATTTTGGATGTTTGAAGGCTGTATACT